GATACAACTGAACAACATTTTACCAAATCAACAATCTGGATCAAGACCCCACCTATCCACATTGACAAGAGTGAATCATATCATGGAACAACTAACCCAATCATTTAATCACAATTCGTTCTCAGTGATTGTATATGTTGACTTTCTACAAGCATTTGACATGCTATGGCATCAAGGATTTATTTTAAAACTATATCAACTCCATTGTCCGTATGCTTATTTATTTTGGATAGTTAATTACTTTAAAGATCGTACAATAACTATTGACTATCAAGGGCATCTGTCCAAACAAGTTGACGTATCTCGTGAAGCTCCACAAGGTTCATGCTTTGGACCTAAAGCTTATATTGTAAATCATTTTGATTTACCAACCATTTTTGATTGTTCATGTGAAGTACATCTATATGTTGATGATTTGGCTATATTTTATTCTCCATCAATCTATCTTAAATATTCACAGCAAGTGGACGAAATACAAACAAGAATTAACAAAGATCTTCTTAAGCTAGCTAGATATGCTGAATCAAACCATCAACCCATTAATAATAAGAAAACAGAATTTGTCTTTTATCATAAAACAGTTCAAATTCCAAAAATTCAAATTTTCTATCAAGGTCAATCTATCCTACGACAAAACTCCTTCAAATATCTAGGCTTCCACATTGACTCTAAATTATCATTCAACGTCATGATCAATGCTCAACTCGTCAAATTAAGAAAATCATATTCAATACTAAAATACATTCATAGAGCATTTCCAACGTTCTTTGCACTGAAAATAAAATTTTTTCAAACATACACATGGCCTCACTTATACATGCTTGCATCAATCTTCTGTTTATTCTCAATCTCTAATCAAAATCGTTTAAATTCATTCTACAGGCGCTGCCTCAGACTCATATACTGTACGTATAGAGTATCTTCAGCTGATCTTCACCAAACATTAAAATTACCAACTTTAAAAGAAAAATTTCAAAAAAGTCTTCTTAAACGAATGAAAAATATACAAATATATGAACAGGATCTCTTGGATTGTTTTATATCATACAAAAATATTAAGAATAATGTACATCTACATTACAATGACAAACCAAATATAATTGGCCTTCCGATTGGAAGGCCAAATAAACGAATTACATATTTTACAGAATTCAACTTCAACAGCTCCACCTTCTTTGACAAACTATGTAACTACACATGGAC